GAAGATCCAATGCAAAGATGGCTTCCAGGCCTAACAGGAGCTTCCAGGCCTGACACAGTGTCCTTCCAGCCACTATGAATGAGTTTTGTCCCTGAGAAATAATTGGAGCATTCTTTCTTCCTTGGCGGCTCAGTGGCTAAGATGCTGAGCTTGTCGATTGAAAGGTCGACAGTTTAGCGGTTCGAATCCCTAGTGCTGCTTAACGGGGTGAGCTCCCGTGACTTGTCCCAGCTTCTGCCAACCTAGCAGTTCAAAAGCACGTCAAAAATGCAAGTAGAAAAATAGGGACCGCCTTTGGTGGGAAGGTAACAGCGTTCCGTGAGCTTCTGGCATTTAATCATGCCGGCCACATGACCACGGAGATGTCTTTGGACAGCGCTGGCTCTTTGGCTTTGAAACGGAGATGAGCACCGCCCCTTAGAGTCAGGAACGGCTAGCACGTATGTGTGAGGGGAACCTTTACCTTTACCTTTACCTTTCTTGGTCAAATGAGGAGACATTATCCATCCAGTTTCCCTGCCTGTAAATTTGAGTAAAAGTATCCAAAGGTCATTTTGCCTGCATCCAACAACGCTCTCTTATCATATTTACCAAAGTGTACACCCCTCCCGTTCTTGTTCTGCTTTTGCACGGATGAGGAAAGGTTCAGAGAAGGTAGCTGTGTAAATAAACAGTGCCAATTATATAATTGGTACAACTTCCTCCTTGCCCCTGCCTTTCTTTTTCTTTTTTCTTTTTCCCACCTGCAGCTGGGCTTGTACAGCATGTTCCTTCCATGCCAAGAAATTGCAGCATTTGCTCTAATTGACACTAATGAAACAAATTGCAACACGAAGTGTGACATGTCAGGTTACATTAGAGACTTGGGCTGTCACTTTATGAATCTCAACTGCAGGAGAAGGGACTCTGGTCTGGCCCATCCTGACACTTCAGAGGCGCTGGTAACTTTATCAGCGAAGTGGGCAGATGTTGCTAATGACTGTCTGCAGTCAATTTGATTGCACAGGTGCGATGGCAAGACGGGGAGAGAGGGGGAGGGCAGTGAAATTATAACTCTGCAGACAGAAGTTCCACCATGTTAAATCTTCTCGGTTGCCAATGTTTCGAAGAGAGCACCTCCAGAGTGGGAGATTCTGTCCTCAGGCAGCAACCAAGAACTTAAAAGAAAAAGGACTATGTTCTTCTCACTTACTCCCCCAAGCGCTGTAGAGATTCTCAGTCATCTACAGACTTTTAGCTGTACAATTTGGGATGAACACCCTTGGAGTGGTGTGGGAGTAGGAATGGATTTCCAGAGGGAAAATTGCAGACTACAGGAACCAGGAGCACCACTCAGGTGACCCTGAGGACATAGATAAACCTCCAAGGGCTTCAACCATCCTCAAAAAGGATGCAAATGACCAGCTGTCTGCAAGGAATATAAATCCTTCCAGTCCCCACCATCCTGTCAGAGCTGAAGGAGCTTCTTGGATGAGAAGCAAAATGTCTTCAGAGGAAAAAACCAGAAAGTCCAGTTGCCTCTTGAAAAAGCACCTTTGGGACAACGATGACCTGGATGACTGAGACTGAGACTTCTACTTGAAGCCACTTATATTTTGGAATGTGTTCACCAACATGCAACTCAAAGGTAAGCATCACCCTTAACCTGAAAAAAAAAATCCATTCCCACAAGGTAAGAGGAAAATATACAGTATGTTAGCACAGCACTCACTGGAGGAGAGCTGGCATATACTGTATTTTTCGGAGCATAAGACACACCTTAGTTTTTGGGGAGGAAAATGGGGGGTGGAATTCTGCCTACCAGGTATTCATCTGACTAGTCTTTAGCCTGGTCAGCTTGAGCACATTAGTTCACTCGCTGGTTTTGAGGTTGGGGCTTGTTGGGGCTAAAAAACAGCTTCAAAAGCATAGCTGATCGTCAGAGCGAGCTCCAGTGACTAAAGCAGGCAAAGCTCGGAAGGGGTAAGAGAAGGCAGCAGCTGTTCCAGGTAGCCATTTTGGGTACTGTGCACAGGGTTATATTTGGAGTATAAGACGTACCCAAATTTTCAGCCTCTTTTAAGGGGGGGAGAAGTGCATCTTATACTCCGAAAAATATGGTAAATTTAATGAGAATGTAAAAAGCTACAGAATATATAGTTAGGGGACTGGAGCAGGGGTGAAATCTACTTACCGTCCTTACCGGTTTGGAAGCGCACGTGCCGCGTGCCTCATGTGCATGTGCAGACCTGTGCATGTGCAAAACCTTCTGTGCATGCGCAGAAGGTAAATAACACATTACTTCCTGGTTAAAACTTCTGGGTGGGTGGAGCTTTGCTCCACCATCGCTACCAGATCGCTGAACCACTGGGCAAGATCACTACTGGACTGGGTGATCCGGTCCAATCCGGGAGCATTTCACCCCTGGGTTGGAGGCTAAAACGTATGAAGAATGATTGCAGGAATTGGGTAAGTCTAGTCTAGGGTTAGGGTGTTCTGTCCCCGTCTCACACATGCACACAAACAGTCAGCCAGGAGTTAAATAAAACTTGCAGACAATAAATTCCTTTGATAACAGGATTGGCAGCAACCCAATAGCTGCTTGCCAAGAGCTTTACTCACAGAGGGAGGTGTTCCTCCTCTGTCAGATAAACCAAAACAAATACACAAAGCCACAGAATTGTCAAGTCCAGTCCGTATTAAATCCAAGGCAGGCAGATAACGTAGTTTCAGAGATACAATGCGACTCGCTAGTTGTTTAGTTTTGTCCGTCACAGAGCCTGAATGACCACCACACCCCCTTTTATCCCCTGTGGGTTGTGGTCCAGTGACTCAGCTTAATCTCTGGCACACCTCCTTTTCTGCTGCGTGCACTTGTCTCTCCGACGCTGGCGTGGATCCAGCCAAGACTTATCTCCGTCACTGTCTGACTGTGTGACTGTTCGGAGATACCTGGCTCCTGGCCAATCTCTTCTCCTTCAGGAGACACCTGAGGCATTGCCAGAGAGGAGGGTCCTGGAGAGGGAGGCCTGGCCAACTCCTCTCCTTCACCTTTGGAGTCTTCTTCCTCCGATAAGACAGGCTCGGGGGTCAGAGTCACAACATAGGGTTAGGGTTAACCCAAGGATTCAAAGAGACCATCTATGTTAAAATTGAACATCTTTCTGTCAACAGAGGAGAAGGAATACATGACCATAAAGAGTCCCAGTCATTATACCCTTTTGAAATGATGCCTGATATTAACGACTTTCCAATACAATGTATCAGAAGAAGTCACTTGTAGTATTTGTGTGTGTTTATTTATATTTCATCTCTCCTAAGCACCCATCTCCTCTAGTCTTCCTTGCTGCATAGGTAATACATCCACCAATCATAGCTACCCACAGACAGCAAGACAACCTGTGGCTTCTTACGATTGCCTAAGTGTTACAAGATGTACAAGTCTCATACACACACTTTTCTACCCTGTAGACAAACATCAAGAGCTCCCATTTCACAGAGAGCTAATTGGAAAATGCTTCCTAAGCATTTGAAGAGTCTTGAAACAGACAAGTGCCCACTTAAACATTTTAGAGACATTGGCATATATTGACAACGTTGTAAGCTCCTCTACGGTCAATTATTCAAATCAAGAGGAGATTCAATAAGCAGTTACATAGGCAATAGATACACTTGAGTGCTCATTTTACAGAAATGTAGAACGACCGGCAGCTTCAAGGTCTTTGGGCATAAATAAGCTTGATCTTCACTCAATCCTCCTCTTACCATGATTGATCCCAGCAGAGTTCTCTCGGATTTCAGCAAGTAGTAATTCAGCTTCTTTTAACAAGCACTGTCCTTGAGAGAGGCCGAAACTCGTTGGTTGTCCCATTTTGCTAGAGTGTAATGCGACTTGTTTAGCCTTTGGGTGACGGGATGGACATTTTTGTGGGTCACATACTGCCTTTGGTGTCCCCTATGAATGCCAGCACCCCAAAATCCTCTCTTTGAAGTTTGGTAGTGAGCTGATCAATCATTTCAGTCCTAAACTCTGGAAAATATTGAAGATTTGACCCCAGACCTGAGCTCCTGGGGGGAGGTTAAGTTTGGAAGTCACTGCTATTCTTTTTGTTTCTTTTTCCTTTTATCTTGCACAGCCTTTTCCGTTTCCCCTTGCAATCTTTATCTCCATTTGCATGACACGTTGCAAGAGACTCTAATAAAAAATTCTTTAAAAAGGTTAAAAGTTGCTGCTAAGTATAGCAATTAAGTTATGCTAGGACAAAGAACTTTCTTCCCGAGGTATTACTGTGGCCCTGCAGCCTGCAGTTTTCTTGACTTCAATTAAACCCCAGCCAAAGTAAACAAGGAGAAATTCCTTTAGTGGATCGGTCAGGGAAGCCACAGGGCAATGGAGTAACTTTACATAGAAAACTAAAACCTTGCCACTGATGTCAGCTCCAAAGCCCTCTTCAAAGAAATTTGAACATGATTTTGGAAGTCAGATCAAAACAAAATGAAACCAGAAAGCCCCAAAGGCAATTTTGCAGGACACGTCAACCATCTTAAAAATCTGGGAAGAGATTTCACCGTAGTATTAGTTGCAGTTGCTTCCAAGCCAAATCTAAAACATTTCAACGTTGTTGCTTTTTCCTGAGCAATTACTGCATTAGAACCTTTGAGACAGTGAACATCAGTTGTTTATAATTAGGGAAATTGAGAACATGTCTAATTCCAATCCCTGTGAGTTGTACGGGCAGATTAACATTATTCTTTGCCAATGTGTTTCGCAGAAAATGGCTTTTTTTTCACATTCTGCTAACCTGCCATTCAAGAGTGGTATTCACTTACTTTCGCTACCAGTTCACAAATGTGCATGCACAGGGCCTTCCGTGCATGTGCAGAGTGTCAAAAACAGGACGTGATTATGTCCGGGTGGGTGACCAGAGCCTCCCACCACTGCCGCTACCAATTCACCCGAACTGGATAGAACTGGCTAAATACCACCAACTGTTGCCATTATTAATAAGCTTTTTACCGACCTTCTTCAGAATGATCAGCTCCCGATCTGGTCCTTCGGGTCTTCCAATAGTAGATACTTCAGCAACATAATTGAATCCCCCTGTTTCTGATCATCATTTTCTTCTTCTTCTTTTCCCTTCCGCCTTTCTCAGCAGGTTCGCCTGAATCGGTCCGAACTGGTAGCATTTTACCCCTGAATTTGAGCCTGATGATTTAACAGAAAAATAGAATAACAGAACAGCTGTCGAGCCCGGCGTGCTCGGCATACAACCGGGACGGGAAGGCGGATTGGAAAGAGTAACACATCCCCAACAAAACTACAATGTAGAGGGGGCACTGGAAATAAGTGGAGGGGTATCAGTGGAGGGATTGCGTTTAGGATGAGGAAACCAGAAACGTCACTACAACTCATCCCAACACAGCTGAGCCACACGTTCATCAAGAGAGGGGTGGGGCACTAGGATATAAAGTGCTGCGAGGCGGATGCTTGTAGTGCCAACTTTGAAAGTTTGTAGCTTGGCGTTGTTCCGTAACTGATGAAAAGCATCAAACCAGCATTCACTCTCCAAGTGATGTGTCCAGCTGTGTTTTATTGCTGTCTCCATGCTGTGTGGGACAAGGAGCTGAGAATAGCAGAGTTGGAAGGGACCTTGGCAGTCTTCTGGTCCAAACCCCTCCACAAGCAAGAGACCCTATATCCATGATGGCGAACCTATGGCATGTGTGTCACAGGTGGCACATGTAGCCATATCAAGCTCTAACCCTAGCATGTGCCAGCTGATTTTTGGGCCTTCTAGCCCCACCAGAAATAGGGAAATAGGCTGTTTCCTGCCTCTGGAGGCTGGGGACAGCAAAAGACATCACTTCCGGCCCAACCGGAAGTTGGCAAACGGACCATTTCTGGCCTCCGGAGGACCACCGGGAGAGTGGGGAAGGTCATTTTCACCCTCCCCAGACTCATTGAGAGGCTCTGGAGCCAGGTGAGAGAGAAAATCCAGGCCATCACATGGCAGGAGTGGGGGTCACATGTGCATGCATGCGGGAGGGGCGCATAAGAATTATGGGTGTGGGCATGCACACGGGACCCCCACCCCCACCACCCCCTCCTGGCACGCAATGGCAAAACGGTTAGCCATCACTGCCCTATATCATCCCAGACAAATGGCTGTCCACTCTCTTCTAGAAAACCTCCAGTGATAGAGCGCCCACAACTTCCGAAGGCCAGCTGTTCCATTGGTTGATTGCTCTAAACATTAGGGATTTTCTCCTTAGTTCTAGCTTCCATCCATGAAGGAGAGAAGCAACCACAAAGAAGAGGAGGTCAACTTATTTTCCAAAGCACCAGAAGACAGGACAAAAAACAATGGGTGGAAACTAACTAAGGAGAGAGGCAACCTAGAATTAAGGAGAAATTTATTTTAACAGTGAGGACAATCAACCAATGGAATGGCTTGCCTCCAGAAGTTGTGAGTGCTCCATCACTGGATGTTTTGAAAAAGAGACTGGACAGCCATTTGTGTCAAGCCCGCTTTCGGCACTGCTCGTCACTCTCACCGGAGGGGAGAGACAATCCCAAGTGTTCACCGGAGCCGTGTTAACTAAAGACGAGCACCACGCTATTCGGGTTTAGCAACGGTGGTGGGTTTAGGCTTGTTTATTCATAATGGTGGTGGCTAGAAGCAGTTAGGCTGCGGAGCTCAGCAACTCACAAAGAAACCATGATTACCAGCCACATCAAGGGAAGCTGAAGGACACTCCACGGACCGCTTCGCCCTCCCGAAAACCAGAATCAGCTGTGAAGCGCAAGAGCGGTATCTCTAAAAGTAACTCGGCAGATAGAAAACCAGTGGTGGGTTCCTCCTGGTTCGGTCCAGTTTGGCCGAGCGGTAGCGGTGACGATATGACGTCACCGAACCAGTTCTCCCGCCTTCCCACCCCCCCCCCACGTTATTCTTACCTTTTACTTGGTCCCACCCCCAATCTATTGCTGCCTCCTAAGTCCCAGCTGATGACTGGAGGGAAAAAAACTGTTTAAACTCTTGCCGCGGGGCTTCAAAGGGCCACCCTACAGCTGATCAGTGTTAAAAGCAAACAAATGAGGTGGGTCGTAAGTGCGAGGACTGGTCATAAGTGCGAGGACCTTCCAGAAATGACTCTGACCAGCTGGCCACGCCCACCTAGTCACATGACCTCCAAGCCACACCCACAAAATAAGCCATGCCCACAGAACCGGTAGTAAAAAAAATTTAGAACCCACCCCTGTAGAAAACCCAGAGCTGACTTTATTTCACCTGCGTGAGCTCGGAGTTTGCTGGTGCCAGTTGGTGCGAAGAATAAACTGTTGACTCCCCAAGTTTCGTGTTGGTGTTTCAACCTTAAATCTTTCCAAAGCCCAGACACGGACCGGTAGAGCCGAGAATTTGTCTGGAATGGTATAGGGTCTCCTGCTTGAACAGGACTAGAAGACCTCCAAGGTCCCTTCCAACTCATGATGATGGTGATAGTGATGATGGTGATGATGATGATATTGCCATGATGCTATAAACTGAATGACTTGCCACATCCTTGGGATTCTTTGAATGCCCAGTTCTTTTTTTTTTTATTATTAAAAAAGTTTTATTTTCTAATCAAACAAGTATACAATATAAACAATCATTCAAACTATCATCAAGAAGAAAAAAAAATCAATCCATAATCCATCACTAAACTCAATCTTCAACCCCTCCCCACCACCCACCACCCCCGACTTCCCAGAACAAAAACAGGGCATAGGTTTCACCAAACATTCGCTAAAATAAACTAGCTAACTGCAAGATTTAATAGCTCCCAAGACCCCTTAACTCCCCTTTTACAATTTCATCAACCTGCCTTTTTATAGACTCAAAGTAGCGTATAATCCAATAACTCTAAGAGTTTTAAAACCATTAACAAATATTAAGCATTCAAACCTTAAAAATTCTCTTAATATATCAATAAACTATTCAATTCATTTGCAAAAACATTTTTCCCCCTCCTACTTTTCTCAGAATGTCCAGTTCTGCAGTCAACCAACTGTTTTGGAGTTTAATTCAAGACAAACAGCTGTCCAATCTCTTCTTAAAAGCTTCCAGTAAGGAAACACTCACAACTTCTGAAGGCAAACTATCCCACTGGTTAATTGTTCTCACTGTTAGGAAATTCCTCCTCAATTCCAGGTTAGCTAGCAAAAAAAATATGCTTGGCAAATAGGACAGAAGTATCTGGTTATTATGAATGCCTTTGGATTCTCCCTATGTAGGAATTGAAGGGACGCAGTGGCTCAGGGGCTAAGATGCTGAGCTTGTTGATCAAAAGGTCAACAGTTCAGCAGTTTGAATCCCTGGTGCCACGTAACGGAGTGAGCTCCTGTTACTTGTCCCAGCTTCTGCCAACCTAGCAGTTCAAAAGCAGGTAAAAAATGCAAGTAGAAAACTAGGGACCACATTTATTTATTTATTTATTTATTTATTTATTTATTTATTTATTTATTATTTATTTATTTATTTATTTATTTATTTATTTATTTATTTATTATTAGTCGCATTTCTATGCTGCCCAACTCTCTAGGGACCCTGGGTGGCTTACAGCAAAAAACAATGCAAACAATATCCTGTAAATTTTTTTTAAAAGAACATTAAAAACCCATACACTTCATTCCATGGCTGGGTCTCACAAGATTGCCGTAGCAAGATCAACGGCCCCAGGCCTGTCGGAAAAGCCACGTCTTCACCGCTTTCCGGAAGGCCAATAGGGTGGGGGCGGTCCGGACCTCAGGAGGTAATTGGTTCCAGAGAGCTGAGGCAGCCATAGAGAAGGCCCTCCCCTGTGGGCCCGCCAACTGACATTGTTTAGCTGATGGGACCCAGAGGAGACCAACTCTGTGGGATCTTACCGGTCGATGGGGGCTGTGTGGTAGAAGGTGGTGGGAAGGTAACAGTGTTCCGTGCGCCTTTGGCGTTGAGTCATGTCGGCCACATGACCATGGAGATGTCTTCGGACAGCGCTGGCTCTTTGGCTTTGAAACGGAGATGACCACTGCCCCCTAGAGTCGGGAATGACTTGCACATATGCGCGAGGGGAACCTTTACCTTTACCTTATGTAGGAATTAGCTAAACCCAGTGAGCAAAGGTAGGTCCTTTATGAGAAGCACAACTCCCAAAGGAAGGACACAATGATAAATGACTGGCTTGAAGCAATTTCTAGTATCCCAGAGCAGAAATCTGTCTTCTAATTTTTTTTTTTCCTGAGGGTGCATGAGAATCTGCTCCTTTTTGATGCAAAAGAGCAGAAAGAACTTCTTCTGGGTTGGGATTCATTTCTGCTAAAGCATCTCTCTTACCATTCTGTAGGATTTCTTTTTCCCTTGGCAGGCAGAGAAGCAAAGTTGCAACAGAAGATGAGATATAATTTCTGGCATGGTGCACACTCCTTCTCTCCATGGATTGAGAAGAGCCCCAGTCTCCAACTTCAGAGACTCTCTGGACACATTTGGAATAGTGTAAAAATTGGTGCATCTGTGTGTGTGGGGGGGGGGGGGTGATGGAGAGAGAAAGAGAAAGATTTTGCAATCTACCAGCTGTAGTCGATCCCTAACCAGCTATCATGATTGAAATTCTCATTTTAAAGAAATCGTCCTTCAAGTTATGCTGTTGCCTGAATTCATGGACAATTCACTTTATTTATCTAGGACCAATGAAAATAGAGCACCATCACTTGTTTTGTAGCTTCTCTCCCTCTCCCTCTCTCCTTCTCTCTCTCCTCCTCCCCCTCCCACTCTCCCTCCCCTCCCTCTCTTCTTCTCCCCCTCCCTCTCTCCCCCTCCCTCCTTCTCCCTCTACCTCTTCCTTCCTCTCCCTCTCTCTTCCTCCCTCTCCCTCCCCTCCCTCTCTCCTTCTCCATCTACCTCTTCCTTCCTCTCCCTCTCTCTTCCTCCTCTCCCACTCCCTCTCTCTCCTTCTCCCTCTCCCTCTTCCTCCTTCTCTCTTTCTCTCTCTTCCTCCCTCTCCCTCTCTCTATCATCTATCTATCTTTCTATCTATCTATCTCTACCTATCTCTCTCTCCCGTCTCTCCTTCTCCCTCTCCCCCTTCCTCCCTCTCCCCCTTCCTCCCTCTCCCTCTTTTCCTCCCTCTCCCTCTTTTCCTATCTATCTATCTATCTATCTATCTATCTATCTATCTATCTATCTATCTATCTATCTATCTATCCCCTACAGTTCTGGGGTTTCTTAGCAGTCTCCAATCAAATAATAATGATTACCAATCTAACCAATCTTGATTAGCTTTTTGGAGATCATTCCATGTTGGGAAGGTCCTCTCACTTAAGTTAAAGACTGCCTCAAATCAAGGTTAACTTCTGAGATTTCAAAGAAACAGTTCAGTTGGCTGGTGTTCTATTGTTTTGTTTTGCTTTTTAGGGAAGTTCTCTCTTTTTTTCTCCTTAACCTTCCCTTTTTTCTGTCTTCTTTCTTCAACCATCCAACCATCCTTCCTTCTTCCCTTCCCCTCCTTTTTTCTTACTCTTTGGCCAAGCATTCATGGCTCCTTGGATTTCATTTCACAGTTTTTTCCTTTTCCTGTCTCTCCACCACCACCATAACTAATGTACATATTTAAAGTTGGTAAATAGACCTCTTATTTTAAATAACTGACTTGGTTATAGAAACATTGCCAAGTATCTATTTCCTCTGACAGAAATGACAAGATTCCTCCTCACCCCGCCAAGTAATTCCTGTATCTTCAATTGCAACTTTTGGGCAGAAAATGCAAGTTATCCCTCCCTCAATACGTCTCCCCCCCACCCCCCGCTCTCTATTTTTTCCCCTTTTAGTTCTTTGTTTTTATTCCTCCCTGCTTCTAGCGTTTAACTACATTCTATCACAAATGGTAAAGAGCATCGAGGTCAAGAAAGCATCTGCTGAAAACAGCAAGCTGCCAATTTTGTGCCCAGATTTTCCTTTGTAGCAGAGATGCCTTCAGGATTCACGTACAGCTCCCTTTCATGATATATTGGTGCTGTGCTGAATTCTCCATATATATATATATATATATATATAACATTTTTCAGGATGATATTCCATGGAATGGAATGGAATGGAATGGAATGGAATGGAAGGGAAGGGAAGGGAAGGGAAGGGAAGGGAAGGGAATATTCTTTTTTGGCCAAGTGTGATTGGATACACAAGAAATTTGTCCAGTGCAGATGCTCTCAGTGTACATACAAACAACAAGGTAATATAATCATAAGATACCAATAGTATAGTAGAAGGTAAAACAAAAGATGAAAAGGATAATGGTAATACAGCCCCACTACATGGGTAAATGTAAATTGTACCCAAATTGTTGCATTGTTACATTGTTTTATTCTCTGTTGTAAGCCACCCAGAGTCCCTTGGGAGTGGCATGGCATAGAAATGCGACAAAATAAATAAATAAATAAATATCCTTAAATATAAGACAGTGTTGTGGTAATTAAGTGTTCAGCAGAGTGATGGCATGAGAGAAAAAACTGTCCGTGTCTAGTTGTTTAGGCACACAATGCTCTATATCGGCATCCTGAGGGGAGAAGTTGAAACAGTTTATGTCCAGGATGTGAGGGGGTCCATAGAGATTATCTGAACCCTCTTTCTGGCTTGTGCACTATATACAGGTCCTCCATAGAAGGCGGGCTGGTTGCAATTGTTGATGCATGAGATCCTAAATTGCATCTTTGTGTAAAACAAAATATTTCTGTAAAAACAAAATAGAACAAATAACAAACGTTTACCCTAACAAAGGGATGGCTTAAGGGAGACCCGATAGCCATCTCCTAATTCTCACAGGGAAGAGAGGGTCAATCTATTCTCCAAAGCACCTGAGGGCAGGACAAGAAGAAGTGGGTGGAAATTGATCAGGGAAAGATCTAAACCTGAAACTGAAGAAAAATTTCCTGACAACGAGAATAATTAATCAATGAATAATTAAGCTTGCCTCCTGAAGTTGCCCCCATCACTGGAGGGTTTCAAGAAAAGACAAACAACCATTTGTCTGTGATGATATAAGGACCCAACTTCCTTGGGCAGGGAGTTGACTATGTTGTGGCCCGCCAGCGGCCAGCAGATCTGGAAGCAGATTCAGACAGTGAGGAGGTTGGGGAGGAACGTGGGCCAGTCCTGGAGTCTGGGGAAGGCTCTGATGAGGGCTCTGCGTCGGAGGCAGAAAAGGGGCCAGAGCCATATGCCAGTTATCAGCTGCCTTCAGAGTCAGACATCAGTGAGGCAGACAAACAGCTGGAGCCTGTTCCCAGTGTGCGCATGCGCAGAGTTGCCAGATGAAGGGAACAGCTAAAGAACAAGGGTCAACTTGGGAGTAAGGCCACAGGTAGACGATGAATGGCTCCTCTCAGAGGGAATAAAAGAGGAGCGAAAGGGGAGTGGAGTTTGCAGGAGACAATTAGTTCATTCCTGCATTCTTGCCAAGTATTGCGGCATCTGAAAGATATGGGCCTGGCTACTCTCCAAGCCTGATAAAGGTCGTAATGGTGAGCTATCTTGAAAGACTGTGGGAGAGGAAAGACTTAGCTGGAGAGGAATTCACTGTAAATTAAATAAAAGGGGTCTATCGGGATGAGGACTCAGCTTCGTGCTGCTAGGGAAGCCTAGGTCAGAACAGAATAGAAGACCTCCATGGTCCCTTCCGGCCTATAATTCTACGGTTTCAAAATAAGCTGTTATTTGGAAGGACACCATGTTTCAGAAAAACTATGGTGACCTTCTGAAGCTGCAAATAGTTGAAGCAGTTGCAAGGGGTTGCGAGGTTGGCTGGATGGGTTTTGGCGGCAACAGTTCACCCAGAAATTAAATGCTATCCAAGGAGCCAAACGGTAAGACCACATTTCCGTCCTTCCAACACTGTATTAAGAGGAACAGAGCCAAATTAATTTCCACACATAAATAAAACATGGGAGACAACAGTGTTTTCTTTTTAACTGAAATAAATTCCTGAGGTAATTAAATTTTCCAGTGTGTGACCAAATGAAGAAATAATGTAATAGAAACAGGAGGAGAGGAGGGGGGGGAAAGTCTGTATAAAGAGAAAATGGTTTTGTTTCATTGTATTGGGCTTATTTATGAAATGTTGAATTTAGTCATGCTTTGTAACCTTTCCGTAAGAAAACTTATTAGTTCAAGGAAGGGCAATAGAGAACTTTGGGTGCTGAGGTGACCAAGGAAGGTGGTGTGGGTAAAAGAAACATAAAACAACATTTTCATATGACATAACACAAAACCTTAGCATGAGCTCACCATATGTGAACGTCGGAGGCAACATCTGACTCCCCAAAAGCAACTCACAGATGCCATTCATATATTCAGGACTTCCTTCTTCAGAAGGAACTTCTACATTGGCTTTCATGAAGACCAGGTAGTGGCAACCTACAAGAGTAGGGAAAGACCATTGCATATTTTAAGAGAATAGTAAAGTGTCAAGCTTTGCAATTAAATATCAGAGTGGTGATGGAAGCATAAAGGAGAATTTGTGGTGTGTGAAAGAGAAGGAGGAACAAAGAGATCATACGACCCCGGGACACTGAATCAGTTGCCATGCATCTAAATTTTAGAGTTGTGGGTTCTCCATTGCTGGAGATCTTCAAGAAAAGAAAAGAAATAAAACATTGGACAGCCATTTGTGTGGGATTGTGTAAAAATATATGTGCTAAATTTCTAGCCTGGTATCTTAATCATCTTTGCTGATGTTCTCCATACATTTTTTAGGGCCTAAACATCCTTTTTTTTATTGTGGTGACCAAAATTGGACACAGTATTCCAAGTGTGACCTCACTTTTTGCTGTTGTTGTTAGTTGCGAAGTCATGTCCGACCCACCGCGACCCCATGGACAATGTTCCTCCAGGCCTTCCTGTCCTCTACCATCCTCTGGAGTCCATTTAAGCTCATGCCGACTGCTTCAGTGACTCCATCCAGTCACCTCGTTCTCTGTCGTCCCGTTCTTCTTTTGCCCTCCATCGTTCCCAGCATTCGGCTCTTCTCCAGGGAGTCCTTCCTTCTCATTAGGTGGCCAAAGTATTTGAGTTTCCTCTTCAAGATCTGGCCGTCTTGAAGTCAGTCAAGGTTGATCTCCTCTAGGACTGACCGGTTGGATCACCTTGCAGTCCAAGGGACTTGCAGGAATCTTCTCCAGCACCAGAGTTCAAAGGCCTCAATTCTTTGGTGCTCAGCCTTTCTTATGGTCCAACTTTATACCTTTATACTATATACCTTTATACTATATACTATACTCACTAGTGCGGTATAAAGCCATCTATGGAGATTCTCAATCATCTAGGTCATGGTTGTTCCAAAGATGCTTTTCCAAAAGGCAACTGGACTTACTTGGGGTTTTTTTTCTTCCCTTGAAAATGTTTTGCTTCTCATCTCCCTGATCAGTTTCCATCCATTATTCCTTGTCTGGCCTTTGGGTGCCTTGGACAATAGCTTGACCCCTTCCTTTCTATGGCAGTTTCTCAAGATGCGGGCAGATGGCAACTGAAGACACTAGAAACGCTGTTGGAAGAGGGAATTAATTTATCTTGGTTACAGTATAATCAACTTCAATTGAGATGGAAAGAGGACCAAAAAACTGGTATAATGATGCATGAAGAAGAATTGGTTAGACATATAAAAGAGAAAGGCCCAATGCATATTAAAAGGGTTTATAATGTTTTGCTAGAAAGGGATTCAGAAACTGAATTGGTTAAAGTTTGTATGATAAAGTGGGCACAAAATTTTGCAGAACCAGTGATGTTAGAAACATGGGAAAAAATATGGGTTCAGAATGTTAAATTTACAAAGTCGCAGAATTTGAGGGAAAACTTTTATAAAATGTTTTACAGGTAGCATTTAGATCCTAAGAAATTATCGTGTATGTATCCTAATGTTCAACCAAAATGCTGGAGGTGTGATTGCCTAGATGCCACATACTATCTTATGTGGTGGACTTGTAAGAAAGTGAAGGCTTTTTGGATAAAAATTTGGTGGGTTATGCAGAATGTTTTAAGGAAAAAAATTCAGTTTTCTCCACAATTGTTTCTATTGGGTATAGTTAAGGGTTTCACATTGGGTGACGTAAAGCTGATATTGTATATGATTACAGCAGCGAGATTACTGATAGGTCAATATTGGAAAAATGAAGCTATGCCTACTGTTGAAGAATGGACTTTGAAGATGGCCAGTTTTGCAGAGATGGCGAAGATTTCAGCATATTTAAAAGATCGGACACAAGAGACTTATGTATGGGAGTGGAAAAAGTGGATAGATTATGTGCAGAATAAATATCAAACTAGGAAATATCAGATAGCTTTTAACTGAATGTATTATATAGGGATAGAACAATTAAATTGTGAAGATGTGAAAAATATATAGTGGGTGGAGAGGTTCAAGTTTTATAAAATGTGATTTTGATTTGGATTATATTCTGTGGAAGTCCTGGGGGGAGGGGAGGGCTAGGGGGGGTTAGGGGGGGTCAGGGAGGGTTGGGGGGGGGAAATTGGGGAGAAAATGTATTTGTAAAACTTTTTCAATAAAAAAAAAAAGAATTGTAAGACTGCTATCATGTCTCCTCTGGTCCTTCTCTTCACTAGACTGGCCATGCCCAGTTCCTGTAACCGTTCATCGTATGTTTTAGCCTCTGGTTCCCTCATCATCCTGGTTACTCTTCTCTGCACTTTTTCTAGAGTCTCAACATCTTTTTTATAGTGTAGTGACCAAAACTGGATGCAGTATTCTAGGTGGGGTCTTACTAAGGCTTTATAGAGTGGTATTAGTACCTAACTTGATCTTGATTGTATCCCTCTGTTAATACAATTTAGGATTGCATTGGTTTTTTTGGCTGCCGCTGCATTTCGTTTCTCCTTCGGTATCTCCATCCCAACATGATGATTGATTCTGAGAGAATAAGTCTACGGTCTGAGTAAATGAGCAGAAGAAAAAAGAGGTAGGAGGGGGGAAGGGCTGCCCATTATGTAGATCTGAGCCTTATCCATCACTTTGCCCAAGCATGAAAACTCTTATGACAATGTTACCATTCTGCTAATGGCTCATGGCCGGATGGATACCCTCCATTGCCCTAAAATATGCAATCATTTAATTGTCATTGCAATCCTATTATATTGCCATTATGGAGCGTCTGGTGTAAAAAAAAAACCCAACACATTGCTAGTTGGGAAATCAAGCTAAATCACAGCGCTTTCCTAAATGAGTTGACACTGTTTGCATTGCACACTCCACGGACAGCTCAGATAGCGATTAGGTAGTTGTGTAGGTGAACAAGGAATGTGCAGCTCCATTGCACAATTCAGTGAGGTCCAGAAGTTGGAATTACAGCTGTTGAAAGCACTTTCAGGTTTCTTTCAAAGCCAAGAAGTTCAGGTTTATGGCTTAAGGTAAAGGTTCCCATCGTGCATATGTGCTAGTCGTTCCCGACTCTAGGGGGCGGTGCTCATCTCCATTTCAAAGCCGAAGAGCCAGCGCTGTCTGAAGACGTCTCCGTGGTCATGTGGCTGGCATGACACAAAGCCAAAGGCACATGGAAGACTGTGACCTTCCCACCAAAGGTGGTCTTATTTTTCTACTTGCATTTTTTATGTGCTTTTGAACTGCTAGGTTGGCAGAAGCTGGGACAAGGAACGGGAGCTCACCCTGTTACGCGGCGCTAGGGATTTGAACCGCTGAACTGCTGACCTTTCGATCGACAAGCTCAGCGTCTTAGCTACTGAGCTACCACGTCCCTTTTTATGGTGTACCTTGATGCAAAAGGTCCCTAGGGCAACCCCTTACATCCTGGGCTGTTATCCCATATCCTTAGAATTACGAGCTCTCAGGTGCAGTTATCTGGATGACTGCTAGAGAGCAGCAAAAGAGAAATGTCTATATATCTATGCTGCCATCTAGTGGCTGACAGAATTGTGGCAGGCCAGATCTTCTAAGCAAAATACAGGTAGTTCTTGTCTTATGACTGGTTGCTTAAAGACAGTTCAAAATTACGATGGACCTCCCCAACACTACTTACAACCCAGTTCTGAAATTCCAATGGCTGCAAACCCCCACCAGCACATGGCCACATGAGTGCATTTCAGGAGCTTGGCAATTGGCTCACATTTGTGCTGTTTTCAACCTCCCACTGTTACCTGACTGTGTTTTATGATGTTTTTGCTGAAAACCAGCATTTCTTTCCAGATCTTGGCAACCAATCCAATCCAAACCAATCCAGAGAGAACAATTGGTTTGCTTAATAATTGCCACATTTGCTTAACAACCATCACAAAAAGGTCACAAAATCGGGTTGGACCTATTTCCATGACTGTCACGAATTACGTACGTAGTGGGCAAACTCCACTTTGGTCGTATGTCAAGGACTACCTGTACAGCAAAGCTGATGAATTCTTTGCAGACTAATGTCTTAACACTTTGAATGGACAGTACCTAGCCCATCCTCTCAAACACATCCTGGGGCAGGACAAACAAATGGGTAAGGCTAATGCATGAACTAAATTGGATTCCATGCCATTTACATTTCCTATTGCATTATCAATCAATCAGAATGGAGCTGGAAGGGATCTTGGAGGTCTTCTAGTCCAACCCCCTGCTTAAGCAGGAGATCTTATACCAAGGGTCTGCAACCTTAAACACTCAAAGAGCCATTTGAGTTTCCCACTGAAAAGAAAACACCGGGAGCCACAAAACCTGGGTGGGCGTGGCCAACTCGATGTCACTTCCACCAGTCACATGACCCTCCCTAGACACGCCTACCCAGCTGGTCATTAGGTCAGAGAATCGATTGTTAAAAAACAACGGGAATCACAAAATCCTTTTGACATCTCTCTCTCTCCCTCCTCCCTCCCCCTCTCTCCCCCCTCTCTCTGTATCTCTCTCTGTCTCTCTCTCTCTCCCCCACCTCACTCTCTCTGTATCTCTCTGTCTCTGCCCCGGCCGCTTCTCCATCCCCCGCCGTCGTCCTGATCTTCTCAGGCCAGGCGAGGAGTGACTGGGAGGGGATGGCAAGGGGTAGGGCCAGCCAGTGGTGTGGGATCACCCATCAGGGAGCCACAGCAGAGGGCCCAAAGAGCCGCATGTGGCTCCAGAGTCGCAGGTTTCTGACACCTGCCCTATACCATTTCAGACAACCTTTTCTTAAAAATCTCCAGTGATTGGAACACCCAACAACTTCCGAAAGGCAAGCTGTTCCACTGGTTAATTGTTCTCACTGTTAGGATGTTTCTCTCCTTGATTAGTTTCCATCCCTTGTATCTTTTTCTGCCCTCTGGTGCTTTGGGAAATAGGTTGACTCCCCCTTCTTGTACCAGCCCCTTAAATACTGGACTACTTCTATGATGTCCCTCCCCTCCCCA